GGCGGTTATTGTTCACGAAATATTTCTTTCAATTTAAACCACTACAAGTGTACGATTCGTTAACAAGTAATAAATTGGATATTTGAGTCCGAATATCATCCCACAGGGATTGAGTTGTTCAATTCTACCTATCGTAGCCTTAACCGAAACTGAATTATCCAAATTGAATTCATGACCTAAAGGAAACCCTAATTATGCAAATGTTATGAAATAAAGGATTTAATATGCAAAATGACATTTTAATTCATTAAAATGTAAATTAAATGGTTCGAATGCAAGTTTGTTGTATTCAATGAGTGTTAATCGCATTAGAATCATGAATTCTCATGCAATGATTACCTTAAACCCTAGTTTCACAAATGATACACGATTGAATTATTAACGAATCAATGCTCCTAATTCTATCCAATACTCTCTCTTAAGATGTATTGAGCTTATTTTTACACACCACTAGCTTATATCTCTATGACAAGTGCATATATAAAAATGCATTCGATTTTATGAGCACTTAAAGATTCACATAAAGTATAAAGGTATATCTCTATCCCCTATCGGACCTTACGATGAATTATACCTTGGTGAATTTATTTTCCTTTTCTCGAAAAGATGAAATAAATCACCACATATCACATAATTACGTGCACTTAATTATTGAAGAAAATCAATGCATATAATTCATTCAAATATCCAAATACGCGTTTTAAAGTCAAATTGCAAAACTAGAAAATTAAAGATTACATCACATGGTTCATCAATATCCTAGTACATAAAAATCTAGCCTAACATGGAGAAAGAATCAAAATACATAGTAGATTGAAGAAAAAGCATCACCGGGTTATGAATTTGCTTAAAATCTTGATGATCTTCGTAAATTTCTTCGTTCCTTTCGCTCAAGATCCTCTCCAAGATGTGTTTTTCTTCCTTCCAATGCATTCTCTCCTGAAATATGACGATTCTAGGTTTTTACACCGCGTCCCAATCGAGCTCCAAAAGAATTATAACGCAAAAAGGAAACTGCAAAATCGTGACAGAAATTTATACCATGCGGCCGCATGGTGTTAATCCATACGGTCGCATGGTTTAATCTTTTTCCTAGTTTTGAATCTCGGATGGGGATTGTACGGTCGCATGGTTATATTCCATGCGGTCGCACGGTTGGAACCTTCGTTTTGTGTCGTTTTAGTCCCCCAAACTCAATCTTCTTATTCCTTGACCTCTTTTCTTTGACTTGTTTGTTTCATCATCTCATATTGACCTCCAATTGGTACTTGGCACTATAAATATTTCGATTGCTCCTTTGGCTCATCTTTTGGATATTTGTACTTTGGTCCCTGAACTATCACTTTGTCTATCAGAAAATCCTACAATCCAAGAATCAAGGGAGTTTAGGTCACATTTCATACACTTTGCTAGTATTTTGGTAATGTTTGTGAGTTATATAAGTGCATAAAAACGCACTTATAAATTCTCCCAAATTTAAACTGTTGTTTGTTCTCAAACAAGATAGTGACTTAAATCTCAACAATCATGGTTCAATAACCTATCGTATCTCAGGATTGTAATTTAGTAATTAACACAAGAATTAGTTTCAATAGTGCAAGAATATAATTTACCTTTACCTGTCGAATGCAAGACTCATCGTGTGTGTGTGATCTCATACCAACATAGCAAGCTCATGAGTGGTTCAATCCCGACCCCAAAATGGTCAAATATATCTTTACCTCGCTCGAGAGATACACAACCCCCCAAACTCATTATTTTCACTCAACTATCCCAGAGTTGTGTTTTAAAGTTAAAAGTTTAGGTGATTGTAGTCCTTACCCTCTCTTTATTTGGATAAATCCCACTACCACGGGTTCGCATGTCAACAAATGAAGGCTCTCCTTGATTTGATTGCTTTAACGCTCAAGATTAAACTAAATTACTTGCCTTGCCTTGAAGGTGTGATTATTATCAACTAAATGTCCAAGGGCTTTTTCTATACTATCATACTCTGTATTTTTCATTAATTTTTTTAGTTTTTTAAGGTCATCTTCTTATTTGCTTTCTATACAACCCCTGTAGCGAGCTTTAGGCCAGTGACTCTCAAACCAGTTGGTTTCAAGGCAACAGGTTTTTAAACCCTTGCAGGCTTATTCGTTCGAATTATAAAGACTCGATCAGATGACTTTTTATTGACCTCTTTCCCTCTTGCTTTCTATATGACCCCTGTAACGAGTTTTGAGCCGGTGTCTCCCAAACCAGTTGGCTTTAGGGCACCAGATTTCAAGATATCCTTACTGGCTTACTTGGTCAAGTTATAATGGCTTGGAAATGTGTCACATTTTTATTTTTTTTAGACATTTGGTCTCTCGAATCAACCCCCCAATTGAAGACTTTCTCTTAGTTTTCATCTCACTTGTCTAGGCAATCCACACAATGTAATTCATGCACGGAGCCTTCACTTATCTCAATGTTCCCCTATAGTTGTTAAACCATCTCCAAACTATGCATTAAGGCATTTTGGTTTATGGATCTACATTATGGTTAAATCTAGTCGAGATTTTTTGGTTTCTTCTGCTTTATTCAAACCTAATCACTCACCTGACATGTATGGTCTGAGTGGCGTGCTTATGAAATGTCAAGTACTACCCCAAAAAGTATCAATTAATTAAATTCTGCACTATATTCACAATTCCTAACACGACAATGACGGACGACCTGAATAATCAACCTGTTTTCCCAACTGTCTCACGAAATCTTCCCTCTTTGCCTTCAATTACATCTAAAAATGACTTGTAAACTTTATTTTGATCATCCCTTATTGGTTGTCCACGGATTCCATTATCAAGAAGTGTATCCACGGCTTCTTGTACTAATTTCTCCTGACACATTACTAATTCTCCTAGCGTGGAGTTACTTGTTGTTAATAGATCGGTAAGAGTATTGTTCTGATAGATAACTTTTCTATAGAGTTCATTAATATTCGAGCTCATTGGTTTACTCCCATCTATCTAAATGATGGGTCTCAACTCAGGAGGAAGAACTAGTAATAAACACAAAACCATCCATTCTGGTTCTATATTTGTTCGAATAAAATGCTTAGCCCATTTTCCCAACAAACCTCAGCTACTTCAGGCCAGTTGAATTCGGTGGGGATGGGAACCACATTCTCCATGTTCAACTGATAATAATCATGGATAACTTCCGAGGAGAACATAATCCATTTCCCTCACACCCATGTCTGATGTATGTGCTCTGATCCTCATAGAATTCTCGGACTAGATTCCCATAAACTGTCTGATGTATGTGCTCTACCACTTTTTCCGAACCACAAATATGGACCAAATTTACCAAGTCAAAGCCCGGGAAATCTTAAAGTTTAACTAGTCTTTCAGGGTTCATTGTCCAATGGTGTATGATATTCTCATACCGGGCAATGGTTTCGGCACTAAAGAATCTCTATAAATTCCCTTCGAGCTCCCTAGTTCTTGCAGCTCCAGAGGATGAACCTACTTTTTCTTCACCCTTCAAAGTTCTTTTTGGTGGCATCCTGCAAAAATAAGACTTCAAATGTCAAAACCATAGAATGCAATGGAAAAAGGCATGTCAAAAACACGAAAGTTGATTATAGATGCATGAATCCCCCAAACTTACTCCTAGTACATGTATAACATGTTAATGTGCATTATTCCAGATATGATGCTCAAGATAGTAGAAATATTATGCTAATAGGAAAAAACTCAGAAAATAAGGCCCAAACATGCACATTATCAAAATTTGGCCCATGACTAAGTGCGCACTTTCGACCCGGGCATCATCGGGAATTATCGAAATTTTTTCAAGAAATCTCTGGGCATATGGAAGTATTCAATGAGGTCTAGCACATACTCAAATTTCAAATCAATTGGACTTCGTTTGACGTCCCAAATTATGGTGCAAAGTAGGGGACGTAAGGTGCCATGATTTCACCATTCTTGTGCCTAGGTATTATGGTATCGGATTCTTGTGGTTTCTATTTCCTTTATCATGAGTGTTCAACACAGTATATCATACTTTTCATATTGATATCGAAGTCAAAGACAGATTCACATAGAATACACATTAATTCCCATGCAGGCATTTTGACAAACACCTTGTGTGCATACTTTCAATTCTTCTCAATTTTTAGAATCTTTATTAATACTATTAGTACCCAAAGCATAGATCAAACATTTGGACAACCCATCATCTACCTATTCCCGTTCTCCACAATTGCAACGCAAAAATTGAAAATGTATTCAACAACCGAACATAAAGGAGGGGAAGGTTGTGAGAGACATACCTTGAGATGGATTAAATTTGATGAATATATGATGTTCTTGACAAATTTGTATACCAAGCTTGAGGTGATGGTCAAAATTGTGTGTAGTAGTGATTGTTGTGCCCTAAAGTGTGTGAGGTGAGTGTAGGGGGAAGATTTGAGAGGTGGAAATAGAAGGCCACCCGTAACTTGGTGTACCATGCGGCCGCATGGTATTAATACATGGTCGCATGGTTTAACAGAAACTTCTTTTTTTACTTTCGGTAAGTGTCCATGCGGTCGCATGGAAACTTTATCTCTGCAACCGCATAGACAATTTTTTTTCTTTAAATAAAATAAAAAACAAAACAAAATAAAGTAAAAAAATTGACTCCCCTCCCAAAAACACGACCTCAACCAAACGTTGAACTCTCAATCACACATTGGCCCTTTAAATTTTTGAAAACGTCCTTTTATCTTGAAATGTGTGAATTATCCCCCCAATCACCCAAAAATCACTTCAAGCTTACCGTACATGTGCTTCATGCCTAGGAATTCGTGTGAACAATGCTTAGACTCTATTGACATGCATGGATGATCGATGACCTAATGCAAACATGAAATTAAAATTCCCTAAGCTGATGCAATGACGATTAAACAAATTAAAGAATACAGTGGGTTGCCTCCCACTTAGCGCTAGTTTATAATCGATAGCTCGACTCCTCCACTTCTGCTTCAATTAGGCATTTCCGAGTTGAACAGTGGACTTTTGCTTGGAGAAGTCCTTGTCCGAGTAGTGTTTCAACCTTTGCCCATTAACTGTGAACGTTCCTTTTGTTTCATGATTGACTTGTATAGCTCCATATGGTAGAACTTTAGTGACAGTGTAAGGAACCGACCACCTTGATCTTAATTTTTTAGGGAAAAGCTTGAGTCTCGAGTTATTTAACAGAACTTTCTGCCCCACTTCAAACTCTCACCTCTGAATATGTAGATCATGCCACTTTTTGATGCATTCTTTAATAAGTTTCGAGTTTTCATATGCTTCCATCCTGAATTCATCTAACTCATTAAGCTGCAATAAACACTTTTCACCGACGGCCTTCAAATCCATGTTCAACCGTTTCATAGTCCAATATGCCTTCTGTTCTATCTCTAATGGGAGGTAGTACGCTTTCCCAAAAACTAGGCAGAATGGAGACATGCCTATCGCTGTCCTATATGACCACAATGCATCGTCCAACTTTTTAGACTAGTGATGACAATTTACCCCACCCCACCCAGCCCCGACGTCGCCCTGCCCCGAATGGGGCAAAAAACCCGCCCCGTCATGGGGCACGGGGCACGGCGGGGCATAGATGGTCGCCCCGTCGCGGGGCTCAGGGCGGGGATGCCCTGCCCCGAACCCACCACGTGAATTTTTTTTTTTAATACTTGGAAATATGAAGATAGAAAATTTCTAATTATTTGTTCACCCAACCCTTAATTTATCATAACTTTGTTACTAATCAGCTAATTGTTTGTTAATTATTTGTTTGCATACTTAATTATAACTATTATAACATATTTAGAGTTCATCTATGCAACATATTTCAAAATCGTTTTTATTTAAACTTATTTTCTATCACAATTTTTTTAATAACATAATTTACATGTAGACCTATAATTTTTTCATACTTTTTATCCACACATTCTCTAAAAATAATTTTACACTATAAATAATTTTATCCCAAAACAAAAACTCAAATTTACATAAAGTAAGGGTATTCTTTATTAAAAGTTCAACTTGAATATCTTAGCTGCAGTCTTTGAAGCCCCCAAATGTCCCGCATAGGCTGATGAGTGACAATGCTCAAGAATTTCAAGTACTTCATCTTCAGGTATACACCTTCTCACAATCTGATCAACCCCTCACCTATAAAGAATAGGATTATCCCAAAAATAATATTTCAGCTGGGCAAAGAACTTCTTCTTTTGGTGACTGGAGTAATCTGGAGGTGGGATTGAGCTAGCCAAATAATTAACGATATCTACATACCATGGGACTTCTTCCACACTGAACATCTGGAAAAATTTCATTGATTTCTACTGACGTTTCTGGTTCTTCTTGTTCTAATCTCGATAGGTGATCTCTACCACATTTTCATTGCCCTTCTTGTCCTTAATTTTAATGTTGAATTCTTGCAACAGTAATTCCCAACGTATTTACCTCGGCTTGGCATCCTTCTTTGTCATTAAATAATTCAATGTAGCGTGATCTGTGTAGACTTTGACCTTAGACCCCACGAGATATGATCTGAATTTGTCAAAGGCATAGACCACCTCCAAGAGCTCTTTCTCGGTGGTCACGTAGTTGATCTGGGCATCATTCAATGTTTGGCTTGCATAATATATTACATGGAAAATCTTGTTCTTTCGCTGCCCCAATACTGCACCTACGGCATGATCACTGGCATTGCACATTAACTCGAAAAGCCACTCCCAATCAGGTGCTACAATTACCGGCGCTGACGTGAGTTTCTCCTTCAAAGTGTTGAAAGCTATCAGACATTCCTCATTAAATTCGAAGGGCATGTCTTTCATTAACAGGTTGCAGAGGGGCTTTGTGATTTTCGAAAAATCCTTTATGAATCTCCTATAGAATCCAGCATGTCCCAAGAAACTGCGAACCCCTTTAACTGATGTTGGTGGTGGTAGCTTTTCAATAACCTGAATCTTTACTTTGTCCACCTCAATCCCTTTTGCTGAGACCCGATCCCCTCTTGCACCATGAAGTGGCATTTTTCCCAGTTTAACACTAAATTAGTTTCCCTGCATCTTTGTAATACCATATTCAAGTGTTCCAAACACTCGTCAAATGAAGACCCGAAGATCAAGAAGTCATCCATAAATATCTCAATAAATTTCTCTACCATGTCTGAGAAAATTGCCATCATATAACGTTGAAAAGTTGTAGGGGCGTTGCAAAGGCTGAAAGGCATCCTGCGGTATGCGAAAGTGTCATAAGGGCACGTGAATGTAGTTTTCTCTTGATCGTTTGGTGCCACTGGTATCTGATTGTAACCCGAATACCCATCGGGGAAGCAGTAATGTGAGTGGCTTGCCAATCTCTCTAGCATTTGGTCTATAAACAGAAGGAGGAAGTGATATTTTCTTATTGCTGCATTGAGTTTGCGGTAATCAATGCAAACCTTCCTTCCTGTGACTGTTCTGGTCGGTATCAACTCATTCTTCTCATTGGGAACTATCATTATTCCTCCTTTCTTTGGCACCACTTGAACTGGGCTAGTCCATACACTGCCTGCTATCGGATAGATAATTCCAGCATCTAGAAGTTTGAGTATCTCTGCTCTGACCACTTTCTTCTTGTTTTGGGTTCAACCTTCGCTGACTTTCTATGGTTGGCCAGAAAGTCTCTTCCATGAGAATCTTATGCATGCCCAATGAGGGGCTGATCCCTTTGATATTTGCTATGGTCTATCCAATTGTTGTCTTATTTTCCCTGAGTACCCTAAGCAATTTCTCTTCTTCCACTTCGCTGACTGTGTTTGAAATGATCACAAGGAGTATACATGATTCTCCTAAGTAAGCATATCTGAGGTGTGGTGGTAACTGCTTGAGTTCTAATTTCGATGGTTGCTGAATGGATGGTAGTGGTTTCGTAGGTCCTGTTCCGAGCTCCTCAAAATGCCTTATGCGCGTATGAGGTGGGTTGGTATCCAAAAACCTTGCACAAGTTTCCATCTCTATTGAATCAGACTGCGTTGACTGCGAATGTGTAATGCAAACTTCATATGTATCTGATGGGTTGTGTAGCAAAAAGGAGTCTTGGATCACCGTATCGATCACATCGATCTAGAAATAGCTATCTATCTCTGTAGGTAGTTTAATTGCCTTGAAAACATTAAACAGGATCTGCTCTTCTCCCAGTCTCAATATCAACTGCCCGTGCTGAACATCGATTAAGGCTTTTCCTGTTGCTAAAAATGGCCTGCCCAGTATCAATGGAATGTCCTTGTCCTCTTCCATATCCAAAAATAGGAAATCCACAGGGAATATAAATTTTTCCACCTTGACAAGCACGTCTTCAATTATTCCCCTGGGATGTGTTAATGATCTGTTAGCCAGCTGTAACGTTATAGTAGTCGCCTTGGCCTCTCCCAAGCCAAGTTTCCTGAAAACAGATAAAGGCATTAAATTGATACTTGCACCAATGTCACACAATGCTTTATCAAAATGAACTTCACCAATAGTGCAAGGAACAGTAAAACTCCCTAGATCTTTCAATTTTGGTGGGAGATTTTTCTGAATTCTAGCGCTGCATTCCTCTGTTAACATTACTGTTTCATGATCCCCTAGCTTGCATTTGTTTGACAGTATGTCCTTCAGGAACTTTGGGTAGCTAGACATCTGGAATAATGCATCGGGGAGTTGGATGTTGATGTGGAGTTTCTTAAAAACTTCAAGAAATTTCTTGTATTGCTGCTCCAACTTCTACTTTTTTAGCCTTTGTGAAAAAGGTATGGAAGGCTCGTGAGGGTTAACAGTTGCTTTACTCTATGTTTTGCCCAGCTTTTTAGCTGGGGTGGATTCCTCCATCTGCTCATCATGCTCTATAGGTTCTTCTATCGTTGAAGATTCTGTTTCTTGATTTATACCCGACTTTTTTTACATGGAATTCTGGTAGCTGCTTTTCGGTTCGAGTTGTAATTGCCTTAGCATGTTCCTTCGGGTTTATTTTCGTGTTACTCGGTAGACTGCCTGGTGCTCTGCCAATCAAAGTAACTACCATCTGTCCTATTTGAGTCTCTAAATTTTTTATTGCTGCATTCTAGTCTTGAATGGTGGCTTCTGTTTTCCTCATGAATTGATTGTTAGCTTCCATTTACTGATTAGTCTTCTCCATGAATTTACCAAACATCTCTTCCAATTGAGGTTTTTTCTCTTGCTACTGATATTGACCCTGCGGTTTATTCTGGTTTTGATTGCTCCAAGAGAAATTTAGCTGCTTTTTCCAACTTGAATTGTATGTTTTCCCATAGGTGTTGTTTTGCTGTCGCTGTCCCAATTGAGCAAAATCTACCTGCTCTACTTCTTTGCCAAAATTGGACATTCTGTTGTTACGTGTTCAGCTCCACATTCTTTACAATTGGCCTTCTTTGACTGTGCTGCGGTGGTTGATTGGGTCATGTTTTCTACCTTGTGAAATAATGAATCAATTTTTGCTGACAAAGCAGAATAAACATCCACTTCATAAACCCCCGACGTCTTCTTCTGAAATGCTCTTTCCGATGTCCACATAGCTGAAGTGGTAGCCATAGTCTCGAAAAGTTTCAGTGCCTCATAAATGGTTTTCGTGGACAGTGATCTGTTTGATGATGAGTCAACCATGCTTTTAAATGCTGGAAGTAGTCCCACATAGAAGTATTGGACCTGAAGTCCCTTGCTAATCCCATTGTGTGGACACTTTCACAGCATATTCTTGAACCGATTCCAGGCTTCATCGAAATTCTCCTAGTCGCCTTGGCGAAAAATAGAGATGTCGTGCTTAAGTTTTGCAATCTTAGCAGGTGGGAAAAACTTAGTGCAGAATTTTTGGCCCAAATCATTCCATGTGGTGATGCTTGCGATTGGTTGCGAATCCAGCCATTCAATTGCCTTGTCACGCAGTGTATGTGGAAACAACCTTAATCTTATTGCATCGTCTGAAATTCCTTGATATCTAAAGTGTTGGCACATCTCCAGAAAACGAGAAACATGCGTGTGTGGATTCTCTTCAGTCCTTCCATAGAATTGATGGCCGTTTTGAAATAATTGTATCACATTAGTCTTCAGTTGGAAGTTCGGCTATCTAAACGATGGATATACGATGCTTGACTGGCTTTGAATTATCTGAGGGGTCATGAAATCTCCCACGAACATATTTCCTTCATCCGCTGCCCTTTCTTCATTGGTCTGAAAAATTGGATTATTCTGCACGTTAGCTATTCGTTGATATGCCTCTCTGTTTTCTAGCTACCTTTGATGGAAAGTTCGTTCCATTTTTGGATCAACTGGTGTCAATTCTCTTTCAGCAGATCTTAGCATACAAATCTGCAAGAAGAGTTAATAGGAGTGCTTAGATGTTAAAATGAAACAATAACTAGAACAAACCAAAATGAAATTAAGTAAAATAAAACACAACAAAATAACAGGAAATGTAAA